TAGACGAAAATCAAACCAATATCTAAAGGAAACTGACTGACGTGACCGCATGGCAAGTACAACTCAACATACACAAGTCTAAAACAATTCCCAAAACCCGGAAACTCACAAATCACAAGCTAAGGGATACATAAGAGGCTCTGACTCAAGAATATCTATACAAAGGAGAAATACTGAAATAGCTATACTTATTACAGAAAGCTGGAAAGGGACTCCTCGGTCTGCGGACGTAGCAGATATACCTCGAAGTCTCTACCGATACGCCTCCTTCCAAGGCTGACAGAACTGAGTGGGAGTACCTGTATCTGCACAACAAAAATGTGCAGAAGAGTAGCATGAGCACACCACGGTGGTGCCCAGTAAGTATCAAGACTAACCTCGGTGGAGTAGTGACGAGGAACAGTCAAGGCACCTACCGGTCAATAAACAGTATAATCATAGGAATAATGGAAATGACATATAAATATGTAAAGACTGCATGAATGACCAAGAATGCTACAAATCACAATAAGGGAAAAATACAACAAGTAACAATGAGAATGTAATAAATGAGGATAGGAAATGACGGCAGAATCACAATCCAAATCCTAAGGTCACAACACAGCAATGGGAAAACAAGTCAATAACTCATATCCTACAATGATGTTCACAAAGGTCTTATCCAACTCTTCCACAATTTCGCCAAGTCTCGGACAAACCACAACTCGCGAAGACCCAGCATCTGAAATCTAACAATTGGCATCCTATGCCCCATCAATCTCATGGTCATACCGACAACTAACTGGCTAACTAGGGCCACTCTCACAAATATAATGGATAAACGAGGGCGTACCTCCACCCTTAGAAAAATCAGGAGGAATTCATCTCTAAAAGGAGTGTTCAGCTACGTATATGCTTGTGCAAGTACTTTTAACAAGAATTCTACCAACCAGAAAACATGAAAAGGAGAACGGACCGCACGTACGAATGTTTCCTCACAACTTCCAAGCGATAAAGCTCATACCGGTGTGCAACCCACAATCACATTATTAAACAAATAGGGATGCCTCCACAGGCCGTCACAATTCTCTACAATCATCCCCTGACATAGCCCACCTTATTTCGCCACGTGTGCAATTAATAACATAATAAGCACCGCCTTATTTCGCCACACGTGCATCACAATGTTCCCACCTTATTCCGCCACATGCGCAACCCACATATAAGCATATAACATATCCCGCCTTATTACGCCGCATGTGCAAAACATCAATAACAACAACCGCATGGCAGAAACCTCGTGCATCACTATACCAACAACCGCACGGCAGAAACCTCGTGCATCACAATATCAACAACCGCACGGCAGAAACCTCGTGCATCACAATATCAACAACCG